AATTCACGTTACTAAAAAACATTTCATTTTATCAAATATATAGAGATCAATGAATTAGGGTTTGTTGACAAAATTAAAATTATTAAAATACAACTAAATACAAATCAAATGAATTCAATAACAGATTGTTAGTTTTAATATTAAACTAAATATTAATAAACGTTTATGATTGAAAGCTTATGATTTATATTAAAATAGTTTTAATCAACATGACTCACACAGGGTATATATATAAAGGGTATAATTGTAGCGAAAGGATGAAAAAGTATGGGGTAAATAACTTTTTTACTTGTCGGACGTACTTATCCGTAGTCCCTAAATCGTGCTCCCCAGCATTTGAGTATAATTAACAGGCGGCATTGAAATATATTCCAAATGTTAAATATTACTGCTTCCCATAAAAATAAACATTTAATTTCCATATTCAATAAGCACACAATTCACAAAACAATACATTTTTCGTTTAAAAAATAAAAAAATTCGTATTAGTTCGCATTTAATCGAGATAGCTATATGTAAAATTTGTATTTTGAAATCACTTTTCCCTCAGGTGAGATGGTTATGTATTCATGCTTATTGCTATCCATCTGTGTACGCTAGAGATTGTTTCTGCTCTCATATTTGATACGCTGCCTTATCGCGTCGATAATCGGCTTCGGGGCCAGTTTATCGCAGAAACTTTTCTAATAACAGCATCCAAATGGGAACTTATGGCAGGCTACGTGCCTGGCATGCCAATGTCTACACTCCAAACAGACCCGAAGTTGGCACACTCGCTGCCTGCCTCCGACTCGGCACTCTGCCGCCCACTCATCATTAATGGGACAATTTTCGGAACGCCATTTTGGCGTTTTCGAAAGTTTCTTTTATTGCATACATGAGCCATTTGCGTGCTTGTGCTTCCGTTTCCGTTTCCGTCACAGACGCAGCTCGTTGACGCAGCCATTATGCTGTCGTTGCTCCAAACGGGACAACGTCTGGCCCCTCTATCTCTCTCTCTCTCTCTCTCTCTCTACCTCTCTCTCTGCTAACGCCAGTGATTGGGAACCCTCGTCCTTGTTGGGTTGCCTTGGTCGCTTCTCTGTTGTGCACATGTGTGCCTCGTCATAAAGGCCGCCGTTATGTGTGCTCTTATTATCATAATCCGTTGAGTTGTTGCCGCATTAATTAAATTTAATTAAAGACGTTTTGCAACATTTCTGCTGTACGTGGCAAACGTTGCAAATTGCATGGCACATTTACCCAAGGCCCAAAGCCCAACCCTCAGTGTGTACCCCAAGTACCAGATTTCTCCGCCTCACTGAAATCAATTTCTACATATGAAACTCCTTAATTAATATTAGCAGCATCCATATTAGGCAGTGAGAATTTATGCGTCGTACAAATACCAATAAGCCATTGATATTAATATTTATATAGTAATGATTTGCACTAATTGTAATTTATTTATCAGATGTCAGTTATTAACAATGGTTAGAACAAACTAGGAGGCCCTCAAAATTACATGCAGAATGGAATCCATCTTCTCACAGTTTTGGGACTTTATATCTTATATACGTCATATGGTCAATACTTCCAATCCTAAAACTCTTCAAAATGTATTCAAATATGAATTTTTACGATGTTTTTCCAACATCAGATGTCAGTTTGTGCGTCTGTTTTGTTGTTAGATAGTTTTCTGAAATGTTGTCAACTTTTTTTCTACCAGAGCCGAATAATTGTTGTAATTAATTTTGTTAAAAAACCGATATATTTGAGAGAAAAATTTGTTTCATTTTATATTTGTATCTCAACAGACCAATATAGTCTTGATTAAATTAAAAGTCGAGTCGATGTAGACATGTCCATCCTTCTGGACACATCGGTCTCAGAGTCCATAAGAGATGGAGGCACCTTTTTTTGAATATATACTCATGTACAAATATTATATTTATGTATTTGTATAGCATAAATTAAAAATATTTAACTTTTCACATACATCTCCCGATCCCACCTAAATTTAAATTAACTCATTTTTCTAGTTATGTCATTGTAATTTGATATGATTACAAATTTCAATGTCACATAAATATATAAATTATTTATGAATCAATTTAGCCCCTGTTTTATGTGTGTTCTGTATGTGCATGTGTATCCCTTCTTCTTCTTTTTTAACAAATAAATAAAAAAAATAAAAAATATATAATAAAAGATCAGACAAAGCAAAGTCTATATTACATTGGAAAACAACAAATATTTGCACACAAAAAATTGATTTTCGACAGATATTTTTATGAAAGTTTTTTATATATTGCAATTGCCTGGCAACGTCGAATGCCTGCATCGAAACGGATAATCTCCAAGTTTATAATAATAAATTCAAAACAGAGCTGCCAGTGTCAGACAAAGTGTAAGGGATTTTTTATTTATGGGGTGTCAAATCGTTGCCGCCTTTAAATACCGATAAAAAAAAACTCTAAAAAGTTAAAAAGCTTATAGTGTAAATCAATATATTTGCGACAATTTTAATGCTAGAATTATCAAATTTGAAAGGGCTCCCTTAAAAAATCAACTGCTGCAACAAATCTCACAGTTCCACAATTTAAGAGTCTGAGATTGCTGACAGACTTTATCAAGGGCCAAGCGAAGCACTATGCACCGAGAGCGAATGTGTGGGAAACAGAATTTAATCTTTGGTAGCGGGAAGAGCTTCTGGTGTTGTGATCTCAAAGTGATATCCCTACTTTGGAAACATTCTTCTTTAAAGAATACATATTACGAAGATGAAATTTCAGAAAATGTAGAAAATCAGCTGAGAGAAATCAATGTTACCCGATTTTCTAATTGAGCTATTCAAATTGTTAGATAAGGCTGAAGAACAAGCTTTCTTTTTAGTTTTTTTATTTATTTAATAATTTTTATTGTGTTTTACTTAAGATTAGTTTTGTCATACAGCGCCGTTTTAATGCTTGCTTTAATTCATTCATTTTTTAACTCACATACTTATCTGTTGTTTGCATATTTTAAAGGTTCGGACTCTTTTTAAGCGCGAAGAAGTCCGTTCAAATCGTGTAATTGTTATTTTGGTTTTTCTTATAACTTATGCATTGCACTGCATTTATTTACAAATATTTGGGCAAGAGTTGCTGCGTTTTAAATATTTGTGAGACATCACTCTCTCTCTATATCTCTATCTGTAATACACTTGTAAGTCCTTCATAAAGTTTGAATATCATTCAATTACGTATATGTGTGTAGACGATTTCTATCGTTTGTTTCGAAAATGTATTTCGATTTTGCATTGTAGTTGATTAAATAAAATTGTGTATCGTTTTTTCGTTTTGTTTTTTAAATTTATTTGTATATGTGTTATTTGTTAATAAATAGGTTTGTTGACTTCTACGTATATAAGTTGTTAGTTTTTAGGCTAGTCGATTCTCGTAATATTTTGTGACCCTGACAGGCCGGTCAATGTCTTGGATGGGCTCTTGTTATAGTTTTTGTTATAGTTTTGTGGTGTTTGCTTGTCGAAGACGTGCGAAATAAGAACAACAAGTTTTCTATAGGATTTTAATTATTTTCGTATTCATTTGAAAAGTCGCATTATATCATAATTTACACAATTTGTCACAACTTATACTAAAATTAGCAGTAATAATTTTGCTTTTAACTAAAACAAAAAGTATGCAGATAACGTAAATATTCTTTTAAGAAAAATGAGCAAATTAGCTAGGCCATTAAACTAAACTTATTTAAAGTTGAAACTTCCACAAATCCATAAATGTTTGTATGGCAACCAAAATCGAGAAGCGAAATGCAACAAAATTGTATTCATTCAAATTGTAAAACAAAACAAAAGGCAGAAGGATTCTCCAGATTTTTTGGATGTGGATACTACATACATAACAAATTACTAAAAACATAACGTGCCCATTAATTAGTATAATAATATCACTTGAGCCAATGCCGGAAAAACAAAGCGAAAGCATAAAGAATTTGGAAAGGATTTGACCAACGATGTCGCAGGGAATTAATCCTGCACATCTGGAGACAAATGTGCGCGAAATATGACTGCGTTTAATGTTGACAGTACTACATACATATATAAGAATATATAAGTTCATATTTGTATATATTTGTAATATATATTTGTCGTTAAATCGTTACGTTTGTATTTGTAAATATGCATGTGAAAGTTTTGCTTCGCTCCATTTACGATAAATAAATATACTTCATTTTTAGCTTTAATTTTTTGTTACTTTAATTACTTTAAATCATCTTGTAATTCTTCTCTCACTGTTTACATTAATTTAATTTTATTTTGGGAAGTTAAAACTCTACGTATATGGGTTCTAGCAGGCTCCTTTTACTTGGCCTGCTCAATGTTTGTAATTTGTTACTTCTTCTTTTTCAGTGTAATTTCAGTTATTTCTGTTTTTGTTGTTGTTTTGTTGTTGTTGTTGTTGTTGCAACCTTAAGCTGATACGTATTTTAAAGTTAAAAATTTGTAATATTTAGCGCATTTCATTTGACGCTTATTACACACAGAAATGTGTTGAAAACATTTTAGTCACTGGCAAATCGACATCTATTTTATTTTGTTTTTCCTTTTTTATAGTTAATATTATTATTACGTATTTTAAATCGTGATTATGCTTTTGGGTATGTTGCATACCGTTTGTTACATATTACAATACACTTATACTTGTACATAGGGAAATGTTTGCGCTTTTTTCTTTTTCTTTTTCATTTTCTTTGTTTTTTTGTTTTTCTTTTAAATTTATTTTTGTTCGTTTTGTTTTTTTTTTTATTTTTGCTTATCATGATTTACATTTAGCTGGTATTATAATTAATATTAATATGGCATTGACGGAACTATTGTACTTAGATTTCGTCTAAGCAAAATTTAAAAGCATTGGCATACAAACAAATTACTGCAAAAACATACAACACAATAAACAAAACGTTGGAAGAGTTTTTCGATTAAAAACATAAACACAAAAATTTCCAATAAATATATATGAGTACAAAACGTACATACGATCTATTTCTCTATTAGTAAGTAGGGGTATCATATCTGTAAATACAAACATATATTTATATATATATTTCCATAATATTCATAAACATAGTTAATCGTGATTCTTTACCATACTATATGTATATGTATATGTATATATATGTAATCCTACAGCAGTCGCAAATAATTTTACAGTTGAACTCGCTATTCGCTTTGTTGTCCTTGGCAATGTGCCACTGGCAACTTCACGGGGTTATCTGACTATTTGACTATAAAATATAGCTCAATTCACATGGTTATCTCCAATCATTGTTTCCTTTCTGCGAACCTCTCAGATTCAGCGTTTTGCTCTCGAAAGCACTACATAAGCATTTACCGCTATTTTTTATTTTTATTTTTATTTTTGTTTGTTTTTTTTATAGATCGATGTATTCATTAATTTTACCACGATGTGCACAGTGGGCAGGGATTGATTGTAGCTGCTTGAAATTAAGATGGTCATTCTCCGAAATGACAGGGAAATGAGGGAAATTGAAATGAAACTTGAATGTCTTACATCTTTGGGCAATACTGTCTATCAAATAGGCAACACTGCCAAAGTTATAATGTGAAATAAATTAATATCTGCGAGTAAAACAAAGTAATTTGTTTTAAAAATAATTAAAGCCTTTGCAGTTAAAATTTGTTTCTTTAGTTTTTGTGTTGACAACGCCCAACTGTCAACTTTCAATCAAATCGACAACGACCCACTGTGCACAGTCATTGAACTTGCATGTGTCTGTGTTTGCATGCGAGTACATACATATGTACAAGTATGTATGTACTGTGTGTTTCTATATATGTAGGTATATCCGTTATATGTAGACTTAAACAACTATTTACTATGTAAAACATTACGTATTTATGTTATCAACTTTTGTTTTGTTTTGTTTTCTTTTACACAGAAGAGACGAAAAGACGCCAAACTATAGACATCAAGCGACGACGATGATGATGACATTGTCGATGACGATGACGATGACGATGACGATTACAATGGCGATGGCGATGACGGTGGTTGTTGGATTGTGGCGCTGGTGACAATGACGGTAATGATTGTGGCTGACTGACGATCGGCGGCCCATTTAGGAGTTGACCTTACTGACCGCTTTGAGTAGGTCGTGATTGCTCTTGTCGAGGGCGCTCATCATACCCAGATTGCCACCAAGGCCAGCTCCCAGGCCGGGACCAATGCCAGCGCCGACACCGACGCCAACGCCAACACCCATGCCCAATCCAAGCTTGAGATCGTTTTGACCGACAACGGAGTGGTGCAAGTGGCCCGGATTGTGTGTAATGATCGAGTGATGATCTTGTTGCTGCTGTTGCTGGTGCTGCTGTTGTTGCTGTTGCTGTTGCTGCTGCTGTTGCTGCTGCTGCTGTTGCTGCTGCACTTGCTTGTTCTGCTGGGCGGATTTCATCGTCTCCTGAGCCTTCATTTTCTCTTGCTCCTCACGATCGCGTCGTGCCTAACAAAGGAACATGAAAAGATTCAAGACAAAAGCACATTAAACTCCTGTCCACAGTAGGTGTTCTTCAATTCCTCAATTCTCTGATGACTCATTTTAAGATGCGATAGCTATCGCTCCGTTATGCAAATCAGGTCAACTTACCTGTTCGTTGATCTCTTTGACCGCACGCAACTCCTTCTTCAACTTCATGCGCCGGTTCTGGAACCAGATTTTGATCTGGCGCTCAGTCAGGCAGAGGGCGTGCGCAATCTCTATGCGTCGTCGCCGCGTCAAGTAGTGGTTGAAGTGGAACTCCTTCTCCAGCTCCAATGTCTGGAAGCGGGTGTAAGTCTGGCGGCCGCGGCGACGTGGGCATCCGTTGGGCCCTGCAAACCACAACAAAAAAAATAAGAAAAAAAAGCAGCGTTAGTCACGATTGTCACGCACACAGCTCAAGTGGTCGGTGCCGGTCTGATTCTGGTTCTGTTTTTGGACACTCTTAACGAGCTGCGAAGAAGATGTCGCCCGGCCACAAATGGAATCTCGCCTTATGTGAACGGGTTTCAGCCTCACATCAGGCAATAAGGCGCTTAATTTGTGTGCAGCCATTAGCCACTTTGAACTCAAAAGCTCAGGTAAGAACTTTGCCAGATTGGCAATTGTTTAATTGCAGGTGCAGCGCTAAAGAAAAAGGGGAAATGCGATCGAAAGCGATAACGGGAACAGAAAGTGAGTGCCCTGCATCATCTGCTGCGAATTACGAGGAAAATAAACAGTTCTCCTAACCGGGCGAACGTCTCTTACGTCAGTCGACAGCGCCACACAGTGCGAGGCGCGGCAGGACATTATCTCCCTGGGGGTCGATTGTCGGCTGGCCGGGCACTGATTCCGATTGCATGGCATGTAAAGGGTGAACCAGGGGCGAAATTCACAACAGTAGCTCCCGCTGGGATGAGAAAATGTTTTCCAAGCAGTTTTGTCTTGCGATTTCGATTTATTTTTTGTTTTGACTTTTTTTATTTTTATTTTTCTTTTTTTTAGTAATTTTTCACGCTACCTGTGCGAATTTTTTGCTTGACGGTGCGTGGCTGATGCAGCAGAGAGAAAGGCAACTGAAATGGGAATGTGCTTCGTGTTTATGTTTCGGAAATCAAAATTTCGCTATCTGCAAATTGCAGGCCACGGCTCACTTTTGCCGCTTGCTGTTTTATGACAGCACCTATCGTTTTTTCCTTTTATTTTATTTTGAGTTTGTTTTTTCGTGAAAGGTTTTCACGTCAGCGGCACATTTTTTATGGTTTGGCAAGTTGCGAGTTTGCAACAACAACGGACAAAGGGACATCTTTTGCGTAATATTTTGAAAGGTGCATTCGTCCACATTTCCACATGAGTTGTAAATCATTTCCACAAAATGTTGTACTTTATGGAAATCTAAGGAGGTCTATTAATATTTGCATTAAATATTCCAAGTGGCGAATAAATAAACAAAATAATATTGACTGCATGCGAGTGTTTTATCATTTCGATGCGTTGAATGGAATTCCGGAATGTGGCAGGCAAGAGTCATAAAAATATTGTTGAGGAGCTTTTGGCCAGTTGACAACAACTTGAATTCCAATCAGCCCCCAGCAAGGAGCAGAGACAGAGCACAAAAATGCTAAACTAATCTAAATTATTTACTCGCTACAATGAGCAGCTACAATTCGTCCCATAAATCACGACTCCCAGGACACACTCGCCCCTAAAGGAGATTTACGACTCTCGCAATGGTGGCGCACAGGTGCGAGCGGGATGGCTGCATTGCGCACAGGAGTGCTGGAATACAATATGGCTGCCTTCGCGTATGGGTCCGACAGGTAGATACACTCACACACACACACACACACACACACAAAGCCATATGCAGAGACACACACACACTCTCAGAAAGCGGGAGCGTTGTCATGGCAACGACTGTTGTTGTTGTTGTTGTAGTTGTTGTTGTTGCTGGCAGAGAGCAGTAAGCGTCGCCGTTGTTATTTGGTGGTGACTCTGAGTGGTGTTGGTGGTGGTGAGTCGGCGCACAGCTGAGCGAGCCAAGCGAAACCTGAATTGCTGAGAGCAGAGCAGAGCGGAGCAGAGCAGAGCGCACTTTGAGCCAGATGGTGTTGCGGGCCAAAGAGCCAGCACTCAATCTCTGAAACAGTGCGAGACATATTGATTTTTCATTCAAGTCAACGGCAGATTTTTGTAATGGCCGTCAATGGACGACTCTTGTCGACCCCGTCCCCCGACCCATTCCCTGAGGTATTAACTGAATGCAGTCAACTTGCAACTTGATCACACTGTAGCACCCATCGCAGAGATGCACATTAATATTGATGGCTAACTTTCGCATAGTAAAGTCTCTCTGAGCACATAAAACATGTAATATGCAATTGTCTCTATCGATGCAGATACACAGATAACCATTATACTGTCATATGGAATAATTATAATTACAAAACATTTACTTGATGACGGAATAAAAAGGGTTCATAGGCTCTGAAGACATGCTCGATTTAGATTTACTTTAAATTAACTCATTTTGAATTGGTATGAAAAATACTTGAAAATTTCCAATTTGAAAATAGTATCGATGATAATTGTATATCTGAATATATATGCAATATAATTAAACAATAAATGTGAATATAAAAACATATGCATTTAAATTACATTTGATGTCAGCCTTTAGATACTTAAAGCATATTGACAGACAATTCAGTTAAATGCAAATTTGTTTTTCAATTGATAATGTTTTATATTTCATTGACTTACATCTCCGTTGCACAGATAAAAGTCAATGAATTTATGGCCATTTAATTAGCGGTAACTAGAAATCAAGTTTAAGCCAGGCGACTGGCGATCCCAATCCCAAGCTAACCGGTTTATTGCACAATTCATGCAAAATCATTTTCCATTTTTTTTCAATTTAAAATCAATTAGCTGGCCATAAACATTTGCTGCAATTGACTGGCGATGTGTCATTGCTTGACCGAAACTTTTGTGCGTCTAAAATATGTTACTGAGTTATGGATCGTTCTGAAAATCGAAAGGCCAACAGCCAGCGAGCTGGCCACAGCTGTGGCCTCTACAGACGCTACCATTGCAGACGCCCTGGCGTTGGCCAAGTACCGTCGTGGCTGCAACTGCAGACTGAAAAGGGCTGCAGATTGCATTTGTGAGATTATCAGGGAATGCCTCGGCAACAATTGAAAATATTCATGATATTCAAAATAATAGTTCCATAAATTGCGACGCGTATAAACAAGTCTCAATCATAAAAGTATACATACTTAAACTTATGATGACATTAAAATCATAAAAACAATTCAATAAACATTCACACACATATTGACACAACAGTACGTTATAAGTATTGTGTATGGCTGAAAGTGTTAGAGCAAATACTAAATGGGGAAATGGGGAAACATATACATATGTATATATGCGTGAATCTCTGTGCACCCAGACAAACAGTATCTAAATTTATATACATATGTTCATACAATTCTCGGTGTGTGCATTTGAGAATGCTATCAACGGCTTCGTTTGTTTAGCAAGCGACACAAAATTGTTTGTGGAATAAACAACCATTTTGTTTCTATTTTCTATGCTTTCGATTTTGTTATGATGTATAATAAACAAATTTACAATCGTTTGACACAAACTTTGAGACTTTGATACATTGTGGCCAATGTTTCTGTGTCGCTTTATCTGTTTGCAAAGTGGCTTTTGCTGTTGTTGTAATTGTTGTTGGCAATTAATTGGAATTGCGTCCATATTCAAAAGTTCCATAATTTGCATGATTTGCATGATTTGCAACTGAATTCTGAATTCTGACAATTGCTGAAGTTTTAGTAACAATTGTTTGTTGTCTTTTGATGCGCAACATTTTTGGCAACCCAAAAGTTTGTTTTCGTAAGATTTTAGATGCTGATGGCAATAGTTTTGCAAAGAAAAACACAAACAGAACTTGAACATTTGCGAACCCCAAGATTTGTGTGTATTCGACAAGAAATCTTCGTGGAAATTTATGTTCAATAAAACAATAGCCCCGCAGGAAGTAAGTTTAAAAATATTAATATTAAACATCAGTAGACTTTATGACTTGAAGCACATTTGCAGACTTTATGATATGGATTTTGCAGGTACTCGTATATCACAGTAAGATTATTTCCCATCTGAAACAACTTCAAATTATAACTATCATATGTGATTAACATATTTTAATATTAAAATAAATTAAATATTTTTTATGAATATTTAAACGATGGTGTGAAGAAGAATGCTTATAGGAAAGGGAATTTTACATGGCTAATGGTTGTGCTCATTTAAATGTTTTCTCAATTTGTTTAATGAATTATTAGTTTGATTTGTTAACATCCTACAAGTTAAATTCTCGATCTCCTTCTGGGCATTTGAATCTTGAAAAATGTTGTCTTCTCACATCTCATAACATCGCATCACTTGGACTTGTCTATACTTTCGGCTGGATATTTCACTGCTCAATGTATTTTGTGGAGGGTTTCGTATGTTGTATACTGATTTGTTTGTATTTGGTATGCATTTTCGAAACGAACTTCCCGGATGGCATGTTGAAAGATATATAAATAAACATCAGGCATTCAACAGCGCACAACGCACACACCCATACATACAGACATACACACACACACACATATATATATATTCTCACGCACACAGATGTAGCAACAAATACAAAATGAATCGATGTCTTAACAACTGGTTCCAAATTGGCTCCCAGATTTCTGATTTCTGAGTTCGCTTTATTCATTATTTTGACAAAGCGTTTTGTGACGATCTTTTGAGTGTTTAGCACAAATTGCAGTGTTATTTGGTGAATGCACGACACAAAATGGCCTCCCCAGGGACCACCTATATGCCAGGATATGCAAATGCGAGCCAGGACTAATTAAAGTTTCAAAGAAAAGCCGCTCAGAGTCTGTTTTAGCTTTTGCTTCTCTTCCGTTTGGGCAACATCTGGCGTCTTTTGTTCGGCTTTTAGCAGAATGCGAGGTAAACTCAGAATAAAGGCGTTCGCAAATTGGGGGGCGGGGCAGGTAAGCGCCGCCATTTATTTCCAAGCTAAGAGGGTGGCAGGAGCTGATGCTCCGCTCTGTTGCTGCCGCTGCAAATAATTTATGTTTATTAAATTTATTTAAATTTAATCAGACGCGCAACATTCCCTGCTAAAGTCAAGCCGGGAAAAGACAGGGAAAAATGTGGGAGGTATGTGGGGGGACGACGAGGAGGAGGAGGGGAGCGGGGGTTGTGCGTGTTTCGTGAGGGGTGAGTTGCTGCGAGGCCGAACAACCTGGTAGCGACAGGCCAAGGACCGGGG